ACATACACCACCAAATTAATACGATTAAAATCATCATTGAATATATTTTCACATTATATAGATTTATTATTGTAAATGTTCATATAATTTTCTATAAAGTTGGTCAAACTTTATAAAAACTTGACTTGAATCAAAGCTAATGTGTGGGGTAAATAAATACAGAGGGAGTATGTTGCAATTCTACAAAGGCCATGTGGTAACTACTTTGCTCCCCTTATTAATGGTTTTACGGGTGGTAATTTTTGAACCATTTCAGCTACTTGCACTATGGCGCAATGGCTTCTCGGGTAGAGATCTTCAAGGCCAAGAATGGTCCAGTGAGCTACTGCATGCTGCGGGGATACAATGGTATGATATATATATATATATATATATATATATATATATATATATATATATATATATATATATATATATATATATATATATATCCTTAATTTGGGTTCAGTTAGCATAGCACGTAATATAATCAAATAAAGGAGTGATCGATGTACATTTATACATTTCTTGAATATGAATGAAGGCAAATACACCTATAACGGAGAGCAATATGACGCCATAGCGCCTCCTCAAGGAGCAGCATACGACAAGTGCAGAGAGGATGTCACCAAGGCGCTTAAGATCAACGCGCCCTGCCAGGCCAAGAACTGCACCTTCAACGGCGCATGGAATGGTGGTGGCGGCCCTGGCCAAGCCGACCTCTACGTCACCTCCAGCTTCTACTACATGGCAGCAGACGTTGGCTTGATCGACAGTGAGGCCACAAGCGGGAAGACCACCCCTGCGGCGTTCAGGGCCGCCGCCGAGAAGATCTGCCCGATGGGCTTCATGGAAGCCAAGGCCACGTACCCCAAGGTGCGATCCGTCGACACGCCCTACATCTGCATGGACCTCGTCTACCAGTACTCCCTGCTCGTGGACGGTTTCGGCCTGGAGCCCACCAAGGAAATCACGGTGGCGCAGAAGGTGAAGCATGGGGAGTACTTCATCGAAGCCGCATGGGCGCTCGGAGAAGCCATCGAGGCCGTCTCACCCACCAAGCGGCTCAACGATGCATGATTTTAGATATAATTGCCAATCCCTCACAATAAGGTGCAAGCATGTGTATCATACGATTAATTGCAATAAGGTGCATATGCTTGGACGCCATCTCCAATTGTAATCCTTTTATCATCTTTGTGGCGAGAATTGCCTAGTCTAATGTGTAGGAGTACAACGACATATAGATGTGCACGCCACACGCGCACACACACAGCCAGGGCTGGGCCGGCAAAATTTGAGGCCCTGTGCGAAACTAAAAAATAGGGCCCTATCTCATAAAAAAAACTAACGAGCTATTATAATGTGTGTATATATATCTCTTGCAGAAAAATATTATAATATTTATGTAATATAATATCTTACATAACAGTCGGACATATTATTTATCTCTGTCTAACCATGTCTAGAATCATTGTAAAGAACAATTGCAAGTGCAAGGGTAGAGGGATCAACAGACTGATTACCAGATGACACTTGTGGTGCTTCTTTTCTAACAAATCTGTCCATATACCACCTTTGGAAGGTTTATTAATTAAGTTTTGTTTTTGTGCTTTTCTCTTACGCTTATAGGCACGAGACTGGTGTTTTCCCATGATGACTCAAATGTGTATCATTGAAACACAAGATAAAGAAAATGAATAAAATAAAATTGAAGTTATACAGTAGCATATATCAATTGGAGATCATTCGTCAATGTTTGACAATTAGACGAACCGTCTAACTCACCTATTTTTGGGTCATGTTCGGTAGAACTGCTACACTATGATCTTTAATCGAAGAGGTAAGAACCAATCTGTAACGAAGTAACCATCCTGTCAATAGTAATTAAAAAATTAGGAATTAAAATAGGAACTGAAGTTAATCGAAAAGAAGGACTCGCTAAACACCTGGAGGTTGGAGTCGGTCACCGATCAATCCGACGAGACGATGTCGACAAGTCTGAAATTTGAGAGAGGAGGCGAGGAAGGCAATGACGGCAGCGGCATGTCGCCCTGAATCTGGATTCCGATTGATCTAAGGGCATCTCCAGCCGTTGGCCCCCCAGGACGCATAGAAATCGCCCCCTGGGGGCGAGCCGGCGATACACTCGGCGCTGGGGGCGGTTTTGCGCCCAGTCGTCGCCCCCAGGCGCCGAAATTGGCCCACTTTGCAGCCCAATTTCGGCGAATAAACGGCCCATATGGGCGAGAATAGGCCCATATTCGGCATGGTTTCACCGTGTCTCGGCGTTCAATTATCAACACAATTATTCCTTATCACATATTTCATCACAGAAAAATCAAATACTTCAACAAAATACTACAACAACAAATAGTTCAATACAAATTATATAGTTCAACAAATAAAAACTCGTATTTCATCACGCGGCGTCCCCCTTGAGCCTCCATAGGTGCTCAATCAGATCTTTCTGCAGTTGATGATGCACCTGTGGATCTCGGATCTCCTGACGCATACTGAGATAGGCAGTCCAAGTTGCTGGTAGCTGGTGATCAACTTCGGCTAGAGGACCCTGCCTGTAGTATGGTTCAGTGTCAAACACTGGGTCTTCTTGCTCGCTCTCGATGATCATGTTGTGCAAGATGACACAGCAAGTCATGATATCCCACATTTGATCTTTCGACCAAGTCTGAGCGGGGTACCGAACAACAGCGAATCGAGATTGGAGCACACCAAATGCCCGCTCGACATCCTTCCTGCAAGCCTCCTGAACCTTCGCAAACCAGGCGTTCTTGCCTCCTGCCACAGGGTTTGAGATCGTCTTTACAAATGTCGACCATCTCGGATAGATGCCGTCAGCTAGATAGTACCCCTTGTTGTATTGGTGCCCATTGATCTCGAAGTTCACCGGAGGAGAATGACCCTCAACGAGCTTGGCAAAAACAGCAGAGCACTGCAACACGTTGATGTCATTGTGAGTTCCTGGCATTACCAAAGAAGGAGTGCCAAATCCAGAGGTCCTGTGTGGCTACCGCCTCAAGCACCACACTGCAACCGCCTTTGGCGCCTTTGTACATCCCCTGCCAATCAAATGGGCAGTTCTTCCATTGCCAATGCATGCAGTCGATGCTTCCAAGCATCCCAGGAAATCCTCTTGCTGCATTCTGGGCTAGGATCTGAGCAGTGTCTTCCGCATTGGGTGTTCTCAAGTATTGTGGCCCAAACACTGCCACCACTGCCCGACAGAACTTGTAGAAACACTCTATGCTGGTGGACTCGGCCATGCGCCCATAGTCGTCGAGTGAATCACTGGGAGCTCCATATGCAAGCATCCTCATCGCTGTCGTGCACTTCTGGATGGAAGTGAATCCAAGAGCGCCAGTGCAATCCATCTTGCACTTGAAGTAGTTGTCGAACTCCCGGATGCAATTCACAATCCTGAGGAAGAGCTTTCGGCTCATCCGATAACGGCGCCGAAATGTTCTCTCGCCATGAAGTGGAGCATCGGCGAAGTAGTCGGAGTAGAGCATGCAGTAGCCTTGCAGACGATGCCGGTTCTTTGCTTTCACCCGCCCCGGCGCCGAGCCACCTCGATGTGGGTTTTCATTGATCGCCAGCAGCTGGGCGAGGGCGGCGAGCACCATCAGATGCTCTTCTTCCTGGACGTCGGCCGCGGCTTCCTCCTCCAGCAGCGCGGCGAGCTCTTCCTTCTCATCCGAGTCCATCGCCGAGACCGTCAAAACGTCGAACACCTTGCAC